AGCCTGTTGCCAAGGTGGGTGGGTGGGTGGGTGGGTGGGGGCTCTTTCCTGCCGGGGGGTCTGGGAGGGGGAGGGCCGAGGAGGGGGATGTGAGTGACGCTGATCAGCCGCTCTTGCTTCAGGACAAGTGGGTGCTGGACCACGAGGAGGTGCTGCTGGGGGAGCGCATCGGACAGGTGAGCGACTCTCGGAGGAGGAGGAGGACGAGGACGCAAGAGATGGAGAAGCGCACCTTTGCCTCTGGGGAGTTCTGGGCTCCTGCGGGGGGGAGCGCTCTTGTAGAGGGGCCACCGAGTGTCCTTTGGCGCAGGATTGCCTTGCGTTCAGTGGATGAGAACGGCAGAGCGCTGCCACTCGGACAGTCAGAGGGCTGCCTGGGCACGAGAAGGGCCACATGCGGTGGGAGCCCCAAAGCAAAGCGCCTTCCCTGCCGGTGGGTGAGCAGGGTCCCAGTGGAGAGTGGGCCCAGCCAGAGCCGTCGTCCTGCACGGAGGAGCTCTGAGCCCCCCAGCCCTGGACGAGTGGCCTTCGGTGGCCCTCCTCCTCCTCCTGCTCTGTCTCTCCGCAGCATGGCTTGTCCGGCAGTTCCTGGAGAGACCTGGGGCTGGAGTCAGAGAAGAGGATGGCTGCCGTGGGGGGGGGGGGGGGGGGGCTTGCCACCAGGGAGGCAATGCCCTGCCATCCGTCCGTCTGTCGGGGTGACCAAGCCCGCAGCCTCGGCCTTCTCTCCGCAGGGCCACTTTGGGGAGGTGTTCAGCGGGCGCCTGCTTTGTGACAACACACTGGTGGCCGTAAAGACCTGCCGTGAGACTCTCCCGCCGGAGCTGAAGGCCAGATTCCTGCAGGAGGCCCGGTAGGAGTGGGACAAGGCCCCCCACCCCCACTGCTGGGTTCGCTGCGTTCGGGAGGGGCCCAAAGGGGTGGTCCCCTGTCGTCTGACCCTGGGGGTGGGGGCTACCGCCCAGGATGGGGATATTTCTGGGGGAGGGTCAAGAAGCTCCGTGGTTCATGGTGCTGTCGCTTCTTGGAAGGTGGCATTTTCAAGACAGACCTGCCTTTCCTTGAGGTATGGTGGAAGCAAGCATTCCTGTCTTCCCTGGTCAGACCACTGATGCAGGCTGCAGTGGTGGGTCTGAGGCTGCCACATTGTGCCCCTGGCGCGGCCATGGGATTCCAGCTCCGACTGAGCAGGCAGAAGCCCAGACTCCACGGCACCTGGCTGGCGAGACCCTGGCCTCCTCTCGGGGCTGCAGCAGCTGCTTTCCCCTTCTTCTGGCAGCCTCTGTGGAGCAGAGAAGCTTCGGCACTGGAGGGAAAACGTCTTGCAGGCCTCATTCCGCAGCTGGCCCCTGGCCTGTTGCCTCTTCCTCTCCCTGCAGGATCCTGAAGCAATACGATCACCCAAATATTGTCCGGCTCATTGGCGTCTGCACCCAGAAACACCCCATCTACATTGTCATGGAGCTGGTTCAGGGTAAGCCCAGGCCCTCTCTTGCTTCTGCATCTCTGACACCCCTTGATTCAACCCCCCCCTCCCCCCATATGAAACAGGTGTGAAAATCTGGCTGTTGTGCTGGCATCAGAGCCGTTTCCTCCTCCTCCCGTCTCTTGCACGGTCCTTCTGCTGAGGAGAGAGAAAGCCCTGTCTCTGGGCGTCCTGCAGGGAGCCACAGCTGGGCGCTGCAACGGCTGGCGTGGGAGGGGTGGCATTCTCCCCCCCCCCCCCCCCCGGAAAAAGCATATCCAGGCAGTTTCTTTTATCTTAACCACTTGGCAGGCAAGTAGGGTCTGTGCAGATCAAGGTTATAAGCTCTGTACATCATTCTCCGGTAACTGCCTTGAATCTGAGCAGGAAAGGCTGACTCCAAGAATAAGTAAGTCAATAAATGTTAATTAATAGCCACCCTGGCCAGTGCGGGAAGGAGTCTGAAGATGGGCAGGGTGAATTGTGCCCTTTTGCTAGACGAGCGGCTGAGCAGCCCTTCCCTCCGGTCGGCTGTGGTGGCAGTGGCCGGCTGCGAGTGTGGCAGGCAGTGCCTCTGTTCTGAAAGGGCCGGCTGGCCGGCATCTGGACGCACCTCTGCCGTGGGGCCCCACGAGTGGCTGGAGACGCCACCAGAGTCCCCAGCAGCTGCACTGGTGCAGTTGAGATGGCAGGGAGGCGGCCCACCCTGCCCCCTGCCACAGGGGCGGACCACCCTGCCCCCGCCCATGCCAACAGGAGCTGCTTCCCCAAGGCCAGCCGGTTAGTTCATGGCCACTCTAGCAGCTGGTTGGATCATGCCTGTAGATACACATCCCCCCCCCCCAACTGTTCTTGTGACAAGGCTAAAGAGTATTGCGTCAAATTACATAACCCCGGGCAAAGCTGGTTTTATTCTCAAACGCTACAGTTGATCTATAACATAATAAGATTTTTAACGTTATTGAATTTCCAAAAGACGAACCAGCCTGCATTCTTGTTATGCCTGATGCTAGAAAAGCATTGGAGAGCTTAGAGATGTTGGGGCTGACGGGGCCACCAAATGGTCTCCCCCCGTGACTTGCTCCCCTCGGGCCCGGTTGGGTGGGTAACCGGGGGGACGACGGGGGCTCTTCTAACCTGGCCTCTGCCTCCGGCTTTGCCGCTGCCTGTCGGGGGCAAGAAGGGAGCCTTACCGTGCGTTCACTTTGTGGCCAGAGCCTTGGCAAGGAGTGTTGGTCACTTATACTGGCCACAGAATGCTGACGAGTGGCACCAGTGGCCGGTCAGTGCCACATTGGTGATGCTGTGCCAATCATGTCAGGGTCTTAGGATGGGGTGCTCATACCTGATAAAATGTTTGTGCTTTGGGGAATTGTGTATTTCTCATCTTAAATTAAATATAAGTAATAAGCTGCGGTGGCTCAAGTGGTTAAGACGCTGAACTGCAGGCTATGGAAGGTTGGTAGTTCAGCAGTTCAAGACCCGGGTGCCGCATGACGGAGTGAACTCCCGTCTCTAGTTCCAGCTCCTGCCAACCTAGCAGTTTGAAAGCAAGAAATTGCAAGTAGATAAATAGGTACCACTTCGGTGGGAAGGTAACAGCGTTCCGTGCGCCTTGGTGTTTAGTCATGTCGGCTCTTTGGCTTTGAAACGGAGATGAGCACCGCAACCCTAGAGTCGGACTCGACTGGCTTTCGAGCAAGGGAGACCTTTACCTTTTTAATCTGGTCTAAGAGGAACAAGGGAAGGATGTCCCTTGTCAGTTTTAGTCTTTGTCTTGGCATTGTTTGCTTTATATATAAAACAATGCCAACATATTATGGGCATAAATATGGGCAGTATTTGATAGGGATGGTGTTGAAGAACATGGAGAAATAGCCAGCCAGCCACAATGTAGATTTTGAAAAACAAAAATGAAACAAAACAGCATTCCTTTTTAAATGTAGAAAAATCTAAATTAGCAGGAGGTTGCCTCTTGCACGGTTTGTAAAGTAGTCTGGAGCCAGTGGGGGATGTTTCTTTTAGGGATATTTATACCCAAAGGAAGCAGCCAAAACTCTTCAGCTGTTATAGGGAAAACACAAGCTCCTTTGGCACATCAATCAGTTGTGAAATTTATCTTTTTGGGGGCCACAATTAAGGCCACTAAAAAGGTTTTGCCTAAACGTGATGTTCTCTTTTGCAGTGTACGAGTCATTATATCAGACAAAATGTTAAGAATGGCCGAAAGTGGCAACTGATTTCAAATGGTAGAAAGGAAAAAATCCTGAGCTAAATTAAGTACCGTTGCCAGATAAGTAAGCCAATGGAAGCCCAGATCTTCAGCCTGTGCTACTAGACTGGAGTGGGTGAGGCCCAGTGACTCTGACTCGTTGCTGGCGAAAGAGCCAGCGGCCATCCAGACTCGTGTAAATGCCTGGCTTTGGCAGCAGAAATCAGATACCAAAAAATGTTATTTGGAAGACACCCCTTATGTATCACTGACGCTAACGATATGCTCAAGGTCCGGCCTTTATTTAGCAGGAAAGAGTCGCCATCTGTCCTGCCTCTAGCAGCTGTAGTGAGAGACACGGAATTTAATCCATGTGAGGTATTAGGGAAATTTCAGTCTGGGACAAATTTGGGGTAGCTAATTATAGAGCTCTGATCGGTAGTAATGAAGAAATCCCGTTGTCTGGTGTGGTGCACTTTTGATATTTTGATGATGAAGCAATCGCAGGCGGCTGGGCTCAAAGTCGATGGGCCCGCGTCTGGGCCCGGCCCCAGGCCCTCCTCACAGCCCCCAAGGCCGGGGGTGCTCTGCCAAGATGGCGCTCAGTCCTCCCACCCTCCTCCGCAGGAGGGGACTTCCTCAGCTTCCTGCGGAATGAGGGGGCCCAGCTGAGAGTGAAGGAGCTGCTCCGGATGATGCAGAACGCCGCGGCAGGGATGGAGTATCTGGCCGGCAAGGGCTGCATCCACCGGTGAGCCACCCCTTCGCTCCCCTCCACCCTGGTTGAGTGGCCACACGCGGCGGCTTCCGTCCCTTCCTGGACACGCCACCATCCTTGTCCCAGCAAGCACCGCGAATGACGCCTGTCCCTCAGACTGCTGCTGGCCAAGCAGGGCTCCGGCCATGCAAGGCCCAGAGCCGGGGATTCGGGGTTCCCTGAGCACACCTGAGCAGACCGTGAAGAGGCTTGCTCCAGGAGGGAAGGGCAGAGCTACTCTTATGAGAGTTTTCTGCAGGGAAAAATAATGAATGAATGGCAAACGTGCATCCATTTGCACAGGGTGAATTCAGTATACCCGATGGGCGACCTGCTGTAGTAAACAGGGTGGGTTCCGTCCTGGACCAAGGACGCTTTCCAAGCTGGAGCCGAGATCTAGGTGCCTCTTGCCACCGCACGGCTTGCGGACCTCTTTCCTCAGCATCCGCATTTGGGTCTCTGATTCATCCCAGGGACCTGGCAGCACGGAACTGTCTGGTGACGGAGAACAACACCCTCAAGATCAGCGACTTCGGGATGTCCCGGCAGGAAGAAGACGGCATCTACTCCTCCACGGGTGGCATGAAGCAGATCCCTGTGAAGTGGACGGCACCAGAAGCCCTGAATTACGGTAGCCCTCGCTGTGGCCCTCCCCCCCCCACCAGGGCAGCCGAGGGGGGGGGGGAGTCTAGAGGGACACCCAAGGGCCAGGCATCCTAGCTGGGCTGTGCGTCTCCCTGCGGCCCTTTCCCACCCGCGGGGCCCAGGCGAATGTTGTGTGGCCCAGCCAGCCACCTGCCTTCCAGGGATCCAGCCAGGGTCACCACCACCACCACCCCCTCCCTCTGGCCTCTCCCCCACCAGGCCGGTACTCCTCCGAGAGCGACGTGTGGAGCTTCGGGATCCTGCTCTGGGAAGCCTTCAGCCTGGGTGCCACCCCCTATGCCAGCATGAGCAACCAGCAGGCCCGTGAGTCTGTCGAGAAGGGTAAGCAGCGGCAAAGACGGGCGGGGTCTGCACGGAGGGGCCCTTGTCTGGGCAGAAACGGCAGTGGCGATCCTTTGTGGCGGAATGCGCCTCTGCTCCGGCCCGCAAGGCCCTACTCTGCCCTGTCCTCCTGGGGGTTCCCAACCCCCTAGGGGCTTTTCTTCCACTCTTGGGTAGCCCACCACCACCACCGCCACCTGCCCCTTTTTGCAAGGAATTGCCCACTGGCAGGGACAGGCCTTCCAGGTTCCTTTCCAAGAACTGAGGCCGTGCCTCTGTGTCTCCCACTGCCCAGTGCCTGGTCCCCATAAAGACAGATGACTGCCTCGCGCGCCCCTGGGGGAAAAGCCACTTGCAAACCAACCGACTGCCTTCCCCCCTCCTGGCGCTCCTTTTAAAATAGTGTGTCCAAGACAGTGGAGGTCTATGTCAGGGCTGGCCAAACTGGCTTAATGTAAGAGCCACACAGAATAAACGTCAGATGTTTGAGAGCCACAAGACAGGAACAAATATTACACACATGTTTTTATTGAAAAATATGCAGATTTGCTTTTTATTAACAATAAACGAGACTGCCAAAATAAAAACAAAAGGGGTAAAACCAGATATTGATAATGATATTTATTTGTCCAAGAGAGAGAGAAAGAGCGGTGGAAAAGGAGAGAGAAACAAAGAAAGCAAATAGATGGGGGAAGGAAGAAAGAGAAAAAGGTGGAAAGAAAGCAAATAGATGGGGGAGGGAGCAAGGAAGGGGGAGACAGAGAGAGAGAGAGAAACAAAGAAAGCAGATAGATGGGGAAGGAAGAGAGAGAGAAAAAGAAACAAAGAAAGCAGATAGATGGGGAGCCTGCCGGGAGCCGCACATAGGGATCCGAAGTCCCCCCGGGGGGCGGGGAAAACCCCGCCCCAGAGACCCGTTCCCTGGCGCCGCTGGATCGGGCCCCAGGGGGAACTCCACCCCGACGTGCGCGTCACCCGGAAGTGACGCAGGCACGCCGGGCACGCTGGGGGCGGGGCCATGGCCATACAAGGGAAAACTCTATGGTTTTCCCTTGTATGGCCGTGGCCCCGCCCCCAGCATGCCTGGTGTCCTCCCGTTACTTCTGGGTGACGTGCGTGCGGCGTGCGCGCACGCGCACAAGACGCCGGCCGGGAGCCTCCCACTCCCGGCGAAGATAGACTTGGCAACCCTAGCCGCACAATATGTGTGAAAGAGCCCTGTGTGGCTCCCGAGCCACAGTTTGGCCACCCGTGGTCTATGTGGGGCAGAGGACATGGCCAGCATCAAACGTTATTAAGTATTTATTAAAAAGAAAATATTTACAAGCATCCTTTTATCACAGCACCAGATTGGGCAAGGAAACCAAAAGAAAAGGGTAAAAATGCAAATCTTCTGTCCCTCTCACGATACATGCCCTATCTGAAGTTAAAATAGGACAGGCTCCTTAGGCTTAGGAAGTTACAAATCCCTACGAAGTTTCAGTACCTTGAAGATCCCTCCTTCTGTAGGCGAGCACATGGTCAACGGTTGCCATCCCAGAGGAAAGCTCTGTGTGCATACCTTCATGTCCTCAGCATCCCAGGAAAAGAGAACTTCCTCCTCCTGCATTGAGTTTTTATCTTCTCCCTTTTCCCACCCCCCTGACCCCAGTCAGGCCAAGTCAGGGAAGTGTTTCTTGAAAATTCTAGACAGCTACTTCCTGGAGTTTGTTCTAGTCTACAGTCCTCTGTTCCCTGCTTGAACATCCCATTGTCTCTAGCTAGACCCATTAGCCTTTGTTAAGAGGTAGCTGATGTGAGCCTGGGGAGCCACTGATTGACTTCCTCTTCCCTGCTTGTTCTCTGTCCAGAGGAGGGGGAAAAACTCCTTAAAATGAAAAATTGAGGTTTTGCCTGTTGCCAGCCTCCCAGGAGACAAAAAGAAGCATTTATTCACACCCTTCAATCCCAGACATCAGCTACGGCCTGCTGGGCAAAGGGTTAAAACATCTCCCCAAACACTTTGCATGAGTTTAGTGTCCCAGCAGAATATTTTGTGGATTGTGGTGGTGGCGGGGACCCAGGTTCAGGTTTCATCCTGATCCTCTGATCTAGTTGTTCCTTCTCTTGTAGGAAAGCGGATGAGTGCCCCCGACCAGTGCCCAGCGGAGGTGTACCAGCTCATGTTGAGGTGCTGGGAACACAACCCCTCGGACCGACCAACCTTTCGCACTCTCCTCCAGGAACTGGTGGCCCTTCCGAAGAGGCTGCCATGAGGGCACTAGCCCCAAGGCCGCCCCCCCCCCCCAGCTGCTGACTTTGGGCCTCCTTGCCACATGCCTTGGCCACCCTCTCCATGCCTGCCTTGGCTGTTTGCCCCGCTCCCCCGACTACGGCCAATTTCAAGATCTGCCAGCTGTTCCCCAGACAGGCCAAAGCCATATTCTCTCTGACTCTCTGCAGTCAAGTTTCTCTGAAGCTGACAACTGTAATAAAGATGGTTCCTTTTATAAATATCCCAAATGGGGCTGCTATTTTGTGGGCTCTACTTTATTTAATCTCAGAGTTGGAAGGGACCACCAGGGTCATCTAGTCCAACCCAGTGTTCCCTCTAAGCTGAGTTAGTGTGAGTTTTTTAGCCTCCAGCTCACAGATTTTTGTCTCAGCTCAGGAAGGAGGGCTCCAGAGAAAACTAACTGATGCAGTAGCCAAATTGCTCGCTAACAACTTTAATGCCAGTCGCTCACAAAGTGGAATTTCTGCTCACAAGAGGGAGCATTGGAACTTCCTGCCAGCAGCACTATAATACTCCTGATAAGTTTAAAAGGCTTTCAAAGGCATGTGAGTGCCAGACTGTGTGAATGAGGCCTCTGACTGATTAGGGTCCCAGTTCACTCCAAGTGTGAGAGAGAAATCTCTCTTCTGCCACCTCTCACGCCTGTTTTAGAGGACCATGTACCTGCTCAGAAAATGAGCAAGTGAATGAGCCTGAGATGGTGTAGTTGATATTGTTAGGTCCTGATGCTCATCTTCTAACATGGTATATACTATTAAATCCCAACGATGCCCTACACCAACGGATCAATGGACACAAATCTAATATCAAGAATCACAAAACTGAGAAACCTGTAGGAGAAAGCTTCAGCCTTCCAGGATATTCAGCGGGGGCTGTTTTATTGCAAAAGTATTTTAGAAACAGACTAGAACAGGAGATTGCTGAGTTACAACAACTCAGGACAATGGAACCCCCAGGACTTAACAGAGATATTTCTTTCTTTCTTTTTTTTTTGGTCAAAAGACTTTTTGTTTTCCATTCTTATCACATTTTACATCTTTTTATCAATTGGTTGAATATTCCCTTTTCCCTCCCTCCCCCGAAAGGCTTCCCGCAATGCATTTCCCTCATGTCCCATGTAGATAAACTTAGGATAACATCAAGTACTTAATATTGTTCTAAACATAGTAAATTTTGTCTAGAGATATTGCTTTCTTATCTCAAGTCACCACACATGCGAATGTTATTCAGTTCTCACATCTGTTTGTAAACTTTTGTTTTGCAGTATGCTAATCTGCTGCTATTCACAGGTCTTACCAACTCCCTTAATCCAATCTTAGCTATATTTATTGCAGAGTTACTTTATTTATTGCAGAGCTACTCTAAGTAGCCCTTCCTGGCAACCAACACCCCCCACACCTACATGTAAAGCTGTCAGATCCCTGGTCAAGTAACTCTCAACAACTCTCTCTCTCCTTGGCAGTGATATTGAGAGGTATGCATGATCCAGAACATCACTTGTGTTAGAACTAAAGACTTTTGGCGGGTACAAGCTTATTATAGGTAAATCAAATAAAAGCCCCTTCCTTCCTCAAGCATACGTCATTCAGACACCCCACGCCTAGCGTTGCCGTCTCAACCAAGTGGGAAAATATAGGGCTTGGTTATCTACTGCTCAAGCTGGTACCAAAAAGCTTTCAAGGACACCTCTCCCTGGTAAAGAGGGAGAGGAGGCACATCTTGCAAGGGAAGTTATGACTTCTAAAGCAAAGTTATGACTTCACTTATTCACTCACCACCCTACTTGCAGGAATTCCGTCCCCCATAACTATGGCAACCCCAGAAGGCGTGGCGAAGCAAGGTTTGACAAAGGCTCGAGGAAGTCAGTGTATCTGAGGAAGTGCCCACTCTATGAAGGAATTGTTTCCTCCCATCTGGTGGAGTTCCCGGGCTCTGATTGGCTGACAGTCACTTGGATTTGCATGAGACCTAAAGGGCAAGGGTTGGTGCAGAGCCCTGGAAGAGATGCGGGGCTTTGGGGGGGATGGGGGGGGGGATTGCCACAGTGGTGTTCTCTCCGGCTGGCCAGAGAGCAGACCCAGACCCGGAAAGGCGGGGAGGGGGAGGGACCCGGGGGGGGGGGTTGAAGTTCCCTGACCCCAGAGACAGTTTCAGAGGGTGGCCATGCTGTGCTGCAGCAGAACCAGCCAGGCCCGAGGAGTCCAACCCTCCGGTTAATTTCTCCCCTGCAAGCAGCTGGGGTGTCCACAGGCGCGATCGGTCCCCACTTGCTGGTGACTCAAAGGCAAACCCGGCTCTTTCCCGTGTGTGCAGGCAGCGCAATCCGAATGTGGCCCGCTCAGAGGAGTTCCAGCGTTCCTCCCCAGGCACAGGCCCGATCCGCTGGTGTGGCCAGGCTGCCGCAAGGGAGGAAGGTGTCCTTCCTGAGGAGGAGCCCTGCGTGCCCGAGAATTGCAACAGCTTCCTGAGGAAGACTTCTGGTGACCTCAAAAACTGGCACGCCCTTCTGTATCGTGTGCTGCTGGGTCTTCAGAAAAGATACGACGGGCTGTTTTGCGTCCTACAGAGCGCGCCTGCTGGCTCGGCACGTCCCCACCTGTAGCTTCGAGGTGCTTTGTGCCGCTGCCAGTCTGCAGCACCGGCTCCGGCCAGCAACGTCTTGGGCCTCGGGAGGGGATGCCAATCGCCTCTCAAGCCAGCCGAGCCCTGGCGGTGCAGTGGCCCCCACCTCCTCCTCCTCCTGGGGCTGCCTGGCTGGCCACTGGGGGGCTTCAGCTGCAGAACTGGGAGGGATGGGGGTCCCTAGGGGGAGGACCTTGTCTGGGCTGCCCACCAGGCACCCGGCCTAGTCGGACTGACTCACTCTGGAATGGACACAGTTCTCTTTGCTCTGGTGCTGCCCTGGCTTCTCGACTGGGGTGTGTGTCT